TTACTTTATTACCTAATTTAATCGATGACTTGATTAATACGACGAGTAACAGTACTTTGATCAGGAGCAATAATGCTTCTTTCGTTATGTTTCAACAGTTGAGTGGATTGTCAAACGTATCGACTGTCGGTGGTGCATTTATACGTGGTGCCGGCGGCACACTTGTCACTGCTTCAGATTCAGACGATGTGACCAGATCAAAGGTTTCTGCAGCGGCTACTATTAGTGGTGAATTTTTAACTGGTGTCACATCTCTCAATATGCTGATCATTGATAAGCCTACAACATATGAAAAGATAGATGCTTCAACAAATAAATCCCTTGCATCATCAGTTATCGTTTTGGCAGTGAAAAGAAATACAAATGTATCAACTCCGCTGAATATATCTCTTTTTCTTCAAGTTTTGACGGAATATCAGCCCAGTGTAAACGCCAATTACTTTTGTTCATTTTATGATGCAACTAAATTGACATGGAATGAGTTCGGTTGTACGAAACCTCGATATAATCTGGAATTTGATCGATATGAATGCAGTTGCAATCATACAACTACATTCGCACTTATCTGGTCAACAACTATTCCCGGAACATTGGACACTACATCAGCATCTGTTCCCGGATCATCGGACAGTACATCAACAACTGTTCCAGGAACATCGGACACGAGTACCATCACATCGGACGCAACTACCACCACATCGGGGACAACGACCACCACATCGGAGACAACTAGCACGACATCGGAGACAACTACCACCACATCGGACGTGATAACCACAAAGGGTGCGACAAGCAGTGTTTCTACAACATCTGTTATTTTGACTAGCACAAGGCGTCCTGTTTGTTTGAATTCTAGTTATGTTGCATTCTCGAATGGTACTTGTGTTCTGAACTCTGTAGCAGAGGTATGGTAGATAAGTGTTTTATGGTTTCGTGAAATCATTGATTTTTTCTTTCAGGAGGCTGCGTACAATGCTGTAGCCAATGGAACTAATGACACTCAGGTTATTGTGGATTCCCTCTCTTTATATTTTGAAGCAATCGCGAATTTGAATTCATCATCGAATACAGGTTTTACTTTATTACCTAATTTAATCGATGACTTGATTAATACGACGAGTAACAGTACTTTGATCAGGAGCAATAATGCTTCTTTCGTTATGTTTCAACAGTTGAGTGGATTGTCAAACGTATC